TGTTCGTCTTTTTAGCATAATAGAAATAGTGTGATCGTTTGCGGTTGCGAGCTCCGAAAGACTCTTATTAAAAACACGTCTGATTTTGTAACGGTGAAACCTGATGGCGCTTAAATGACCAAAATTGTGTCGATAGTGCCGTAAAACATCTACCCAATCAAAAAAAAAACAACCCGTGTGCAAGTTGCGCACATTTAAGATAGCTTGGTGGTCCAAAAACGATAAGGGTAGGCTTCGGCCGCAACACGCGCTAAATTCAAAATTTCCTGTCAATTGAAAATGTTTGGTGCGTTCAGCGCGCTCATGATACCTTACACAGTTGTGAGCGCCGTAAGACACCATAAAAAAAGGTCTGATTAGATCTAGGCTATCTGTTTTCCCTCGGCCCTCAAATCATTACTCAGTGCACTATTGAACGCGCCCATGTCGTGAGTTCCCAGCGCACGAGTGAACGCCCCGCTTTTCCCGCCATCTGCATCAACATCATAGCCTCCAACCGCACGGAACCAGTCGCCGCTAGCGAAGCTAAGCTAGCCTAGCAGACGACGAGTGAGGGAGGCGGGTATCTCAAGAGTTGGCGAGGGGGGTTTGGTTCGCGCGCTAGCCCAGTCCTCCTCCCTACAGGCGGTTGGTGATAGAGTGAGACTCCTCTTCAATTCTTTAGAATTCTGATCTCTGTAGATATCTCGATCTGCTGCGACTGTTGATAACGATTGCTGGTTTTATGTGACCGCTGTGACCGATGAAAAAGCTCTCATAATAATAATATCGTACTTTGTACATTTCTTAAGCTTTCGCGGTGATGCAGTGAACTGGATTTGGTATTTTTTTCTGTTTCAGTAGTTCTCGTCAGTAGATCTACGAGAAATACAAGGGAAAAAGACACAGAATTTCGTGGAATGAGGGATTGTATACTGGAGTACAACTGGTTTTTCATAACGTCAGTTATCCTGGTGAGTCTTTTCACTGATTTATTATAATTTTCTTGGCGGTGTGTGTGTGTGTGTGTGTGTGTGTGTGTGTGTGTGTGTGTGTGTGTGTGTGTGTGTGTGTGAG